AAATCTTGGAGCTTTGTGCACCTAACCTCTGTGGGGCTGGTCTGTGAGGGGGGAGGGGCAGGCAATCACTGGATGTTAGCAGGACCATCCAGTAGTAATAATAGCAGCAATAATGCAAAGTTCCTTCATTGTCTGAATAACCTTGATTCTGAGGTTGGGTGGAGAGAATTTGGATAGTGAGGGGATAATATGTTATTTGATTATGTTTTATTCCTGCATTTCTTGAGAGTAGTGAGTTTGAATAATGAGATACCAAGCCCATCTTATTTTTCCCAAACAACTATCCAAACCTGTTAATAACAACACAAGCGTTCCTCACTGTTAATCTGTTTGGTACCTGTATACTGAGAGTTCCGGAAGTGCAGATGTACCAAGTTATCTGAAGGTATCTTGTTTTCGCATCTTAATAGTGAATAGGGAAGCCAGGCGTGGTGGCTCGTGCCTATAATCCCAGCACTTTGGGAGGCTGAGGTGAGAGGATTGCCTGAGCTCACGGGTTCAAGACCAGCCTGGGCAACTTGGTGAGACCTCACCTCTACAATAAATAAAAAAATTAGCCGGGCGTAGTGGCTCATGCCTGTAGTTCCAGCTACTTGGAAGACTGAGGTGGAAGGATTGCTGGAGCCCAGCAGGTCGAGGCTGCGGTGGCCGTGAGCGTGCCACTGCCCATCAGTCTAGGCAACAGAGTGATACTCCAACTCAAAAAGCACACAAACAAACAAACGAACAAACAAAAAAATAGTGAATAGGGAAAGTTAAGATAATGAGGAATAATGACTCTAACTCAAAATGTGTCCAAATCTGTTAACTTTCCTGAGTTCCAGGGACAAGAGTTGGAATACTGAGGGTACCCTGCTATGTAAATATATTTCTTTCCTGCATTTTGCCTGGTGAGTAAGGAAAGCTCAAGAGTGAGGGGTTCCAGTTCTGTCTCAGAAATATATCTTAATCCATTCAGTTCATGCATTTGGATAGTGAGAGTTCAGACAATTTATTTGAATGTGTTTGGTTGCTGCATTCTTATTTTTTGAGACAGGATCTCGCTGTGTCACCCAGGCTGGAATGCAGTGACACCATCACAGTTCACTGTAACCTCAAACTCCTGGCCTCAAGCAGCCCTCCTACCTTTGAGTGGCTGGGACTACAGGCATGCACCACCATGCCAGGTTAATTTTTGTATTTTTTTTTTTGTAAACATGGGGTTTCTCTGTGTTCTCCAGGCTGGTCTTGAATTCTTGGCCTCAAGAAGTGCTGGCATTACAGACAGGAACCACCGTGCCAGACCCAGGTTCCTGCATTTTTTATGTTAACTGGGGAGAAGCTGGGTAATGAGGGAAAGCAGCTCTGTTTCATGTATGTTTCCTTTGACGAGTAAGGAGGGTTTCTTGTTTGGATAGCAAGTAAGGAGGGTTTGGGAGCTGAGGGATACCAACTCTGTTTCAAAAATGCATCTGAATACATTTAATTTCTGATTTTGGATAGTAAGAGTTCAGACAAGTCATCTGAGGCAAAACAGCTCTGTTTCAAATTTGTCAAGTGAAGCTTAGGGATACGAGCTCTCAAAAAAAAAAAGAAAAGAAAGAAAGAAAGAAAGAACTCAAATGTATGTCTTTGATTCCCAAGTTCATATGGGGAGGAATACTTGTAATTATGATAGTCAAAGTCAAGAAATATTGAGCACTTAACACTGACAAGGCACTTTCCAAAGCAAGCTTTAAATTTATTAACTCAGCCGGGTTCGGTGGCTCAGCCTGTAATCCCAGCACTTTGGGAGGCTGAGGTGAGTAGACTGCCTGAGCCTGCGGGTTCGAGACTTGCCTGGGCAACTTGGCGAGACCTCATCTCTTTTTTTTTGAGTTGGCGTCTCACTCAGTCGCCCAGACTGGAGTGCAGTGGCCGGTTGCGGCCACTGCAGCCTCGACCTGCTGGGCTCTGGCGATCCTTCCGCCTCAGCCTTCCGAGTAGCTGGAACTACAGGTGTGCACTACCATGCCCGGCTAATTTTTTGATTTATTGTAGAGATGAGGTCTCGCTGCCCAGGTGGGTCTCGAACCAGCGGGCTTAGGCAATCCACTTACTTCAGCCTCCCAAAGGCACGGGATTACAGGCTGAGCCACCGAGCCTGGCGAGACCTCATCTCTACAAAAAATAAAAAAAAATTAGCTGGTATGGTAGTACATGCCTATAGTCCCAGCTACTCAGAAGACTAAGCCAGAATGATAGCCTGAGCCTAGGAGGTCGAGGCTGCAATGAGCCCTGATCATGCCACTGCACTCCAGCCTGGGTGACAGAGTAAGATCCCAACTCAAAAAAAAATGTATTAACTCATTTAATACTCACAACAGCCCTGTGTGGTACATACTGTTACCATCTTCCCCATTTTGCAGATGAGGACATTGAGTCACAGGGGGGTTAAGTGACTTGTCCAAGTAGTTACACAGCTAGGAAGTGGCAGAGCTGGGTTGAATCCCAGACTTGCCATTTACAGGACCCAACTGGGATGGGGCTTAGAAATTGAGGTATCTAGCCGGGCTCGGTGGCTCAGCCTGTAATCCCACGCTTTGGGAGGCTGAGGTAAGCGGATTGCCTGAGCTCGTGGGTTCGAGACCCGCCTGGGCAACTTGGTGAGATCTCATCTCTGCAATAAATAAAAAAGTAGCCGGGCGTGGTAGCGCACACCTGTAGTTCCAGCTACTTAGAAGGCTGAGGCAGAAGGATTGCCGCAGCCCAGCAGGTCGAGGCTGCGGTGGCCGGG